GGTGAGGAAGACCTTCAGAATGTTTTCGTTGATATAGACTATAGAGAACATGAGTGCTGGAGTTTCCAGGATTTTAGAGGAGGAGCTGCGACATATAACGATAACCTCAAGGAGCATGTTTGGGTGCTTATTTTTAGTAGGCACCCAGACATACTAAAGGACATGAACAGTGAAGCTATGATTGTAGCATTTATAACACAACGAAAATAGCGAGAATAAGCATAGATTTATTTCAAAAGTTGACTTTACCAGTTTATTATAGATGCGTTGAATTGATTTAAAGCATTCAAGAAATTGCTTCTTGTGTCCCAGGCAGGTATTACTGAGATATCCATAGCTGATGATTGCTAGCAGGTAACTATGGTAAATTAGAGGTCTCAAAAAATTAGCTGAAATAGGATATCGAGAAAATAAGTAAGAGTGAACCTGAATGGAAAGCACCTTCAATTATAGAAAGGTGGGAGGATGCACTATCTTAAGGAAAGCTCTGGGCCTTTTGACTGATGTACACATACAAATTTACAACAAATTCATAGTGGAATCCATGGCATTTGGTGCTGTCAGTTGTTTGACTTCAAAACATCAGTCAAACAAAATTACTGCTGTTGTTTTTATTGTCAGGATAAAATCGAATTAACAAAATACTAAACGCAGTCCTCATGGAAACTATTGCTACGCAAGGTCAATAAGAAAGATACAGAGTCACCGAGATGCTATGGAGTGAGATTATAACCTCTAAGGACACGTGTTCATCTGAATGAGGAAAGAGGATGCATGCCGCAGGTACGCCATGGTATGGAATAAGAATTCAATGTAACATTCTGGTTTTCAACCCCAAAACCTCCTGATAATACAATTGATCATACGAAAAGTGTGCAAATCCAATTATAAAAATAGCTGCTTTAAGCAGACATGGCAAAATCTTGTTTCTGTAGAAGTGGGAATCTACTGATAACTGCCTTAATTGTGCAATCCTTCCTTAAGAATCCTATTGCCTCCCTCTCTCTCTCTCTCTCTCTCTCTCTCTCTCTCTCTCTCTCTCTTTGTGAATGTGTGTGAACGTCTATGGTGAATATGCAGTGTCTTGTGTACATTGGAGTAGCTAATTTTTACTTGATTACTAAGAGATGCACAATTTTGCGAGCAAGTTTTCTAAGAGTTCGCTTCTGTCAGCGAAAACTAGTAACTAATATCAGTGTCTTAACTCTCAAGTGGAGTTCAAAAATCATTCAACTGCAATATCCAGTTTTACAGCTTTTGTTGATGCATTCTTTCAAGAATGCCAATGTGTCTTTTGTGGTGGAAAAATTAATTAGTAATTGCTTGTCATAGGTTAGCCATGGGATTATATAACTTTATACCTGCCATGAGAATATTGTGTTGCTTAATGGGAATTGTGACTAATAAGTGACTAGTAGACAAAATCAAATATGAACAGAATAAAGGAACATTTGAGGCTTCATAGATTTGTTGGATCTAGTAGAAAGAAAATTCTGAGAACTTCTTGGTTTGTGCAAGTTAATGTAGACATGAAAATTCTGAGATTTTATCATTTTGTTTGATGATCTTTGGAGAAAAGCGCGCAGATGTTTCAGATCATGTTTGATTAACTAAGTGACCGAATGCAGATGCCATGTCTTGCTTGTATCTGCAATGAACTAATAGCATGTTTGGTTGCAAGGGTTGTATAGCACTAAACAATATTAGGAAAGCTGAAAAGTAAAAAAAATTGGAAGTCTTGTTTATCATACTGTCCAATCATATCCAAGAATGCACACCAAAGTATAAATTTAACACCTTTCTATTGCGCCTATTTTGCTGTACTATTCTAGCACAACGAAGAAAAGTTGTAAAATCAGAAGTTTCATATGGGCAAATGAGGGAGCAATTAATAATAAACAGCATTCCATTTCTTAATATCTTTTATATTCTAATTAAAACATCAATCTCACTTTTCTTTATGCCGTTGCTGGATGAATTAAGATGATGGCATATCCCCGTCTGCAGGTAATTATAGGAGCTTCGTCATACGTGTGGCAGCTTTGTTATGTAACTATGGCACGACGACAATCCGCTACTAGTTTTTCAGTTTAGAGCAGAAATCATTTTTGCTTGTTTCTGCTTCATTCTCATCACCTTCCAGTCATAATAATGATTAATCTATGAAAGCATACAATCAGATTGCTTTTACTATTTTCTTTTTACTTTTTTCTAATTATTCTTTTGTTTTGGTCGACGAATTTTTCATTAACAGTAATTTGTCTGCCAGTTTATTGGTTTATATTCTTTATTTGGTTTTGGATGCCAGTTTTATCTCTGTTGCTATCAAAGGTCACATCGGTTATTTTTTGACACGGACAGACTTGTATTGAATTGACTGATATTTAGATGTTTTACATTGTAACTGAGCTTATTTCCATTTTGCAACAACTTGAGAGTTACTTATTTCTTTTAAGTTGCTTATCTATGAGAAGTGTTTCTTTTAACTTCAGCTTTTATTTTCTTCTTCTGGTATGGACATACAATGTTGCGAGAATGGAAAAAGAATTAGCACGGGAAAGGAAAAGAGACATTATATAGTCTTTCTTTCACGTGGAATGCAAAACAGAAAATTGCACAAAACAATATAGACGAATTTTGAGGATTATTGGAGTATCACAGAGATATAGCGTGATTCTAGTAATTTTCATGTAGTAGATCTTTCACAGTACAGAGTTTTTCTCTCGTTTTTGGAAATTCTCCATGTAAATCCTTGTATCTTAGCCATTGTGATTTAAAATAGACAGATTTCCATCACAAGAATCAATAATGAACTTCACATTAGCCTAATCTTCTTTATACTGTTATGAACTATCTGATCCTCCATACCGAACATGTCACTAATGTATTACAGAAGCTAAACCTCATGTGTACTTATGTCTTATAGACAGTATTGAATACAAAGCAAGGTATTTCATGAAGCTGGTGCCTTCAATCAATGCCCAAATTCACAGGAAAAGTATCAGTTTTTCGACTGGGATTATGGCTATGGCTAACAAGGGGAGAATGCACCTGTCCTTGTTGTGTTTCAGTGCTCATATTCATGTTCATTTCGATTATCATATGGCCATTTCCATTTGTCTGATGAGAACGGCTGACACCATTCGGCAGGCTAGGATTCCTTACCATTTGCATCATTCCTGTCCCTTCAGATCAACCGTACTCATCAGTGTATTCCACATCTACATTGTAGCCATTTATCAAGAAGTCTGAGCAGTTCTTCTTGCAGCCATGGTCATATGGATTTCTGAATCGACCCCCTGGTCTTCGAAGGTAACTATAGCGCAATGCATTTTCCATTTCGTTTGTTGTAATATTGTGAGAGATCTGCAGAAAAAAGAAAAATGAGGGAATTTGTTCAAACCCAAATAGAACAAATTGTCCATATCATTAGAAGTAACTTGAAATCACGACAGATGAATTTGACTCAAGCAGCTCGAGAATGGCAAGGTTAGCTGGGATAAAACCGCAATGCCATTTGGGAAATTGATACTTGACTGTGCTTCAAGCTCATGTTTGGTCACTTTGTA